TAGGCCTCTCTAAATGCCCTTTGCCTCCGAGCTCTTTCTTCTATTTCCTTGGACTTTCCTCCTGTCCCACCATCAAGCTCAATCCCCACCAGGGTTTCAGCAATTCCTCCTGGTTACATTACACTTGATCATGCCCTACCAGGCCTCCCACACCCTTCTCACCACAGATTTGGATCACTTGTTGTTCCCTTGTCCCTGGATTTGTTAACACCACTCCCTTTCCCCCACCTTCCCCTCTTTAACTCTTTCATTCTAAGATATGCTGAGTGTGTTCTTCCTTTTGATTTTCTAATTCTAAGTTTTTGCACATTTCATTAAAATATTTGGCTTTATTCCTTGAGCTGCCCTTTGAAAATTTCTGCTCAGCTCTTTGACCTCATTGTTTCTCCCATTTGCTTCAGTACTCTATAATTAAGAGCAAGTTTCAGAGTCTCTTCTGAGGTCCACTTTGATCTTTTTTCCCTCTTCTTTCCTGTCTTTTTAATGACCTTTTGCTTTGTTCATGAATGATGTTCTTGATGGGCTCCCACAGTTCATCAGGTCTTCTTTTCAATTCGTGTAATTCTTTTTTAACTTGTGACAAAAATATGCATGGCAAACATTCTCCCATTCAACCACTTCTACATGTATAAGTCAGTGACATTGATTATACTCTTCCTGTTGTACAGTCATTATTGGTGTCCTTTTCCAAATTATTTTACCACCATTAACATCCACTCAGGTTTGAAGGGTTCATGTCTGTTCTTGCAATTCAGGTAGGATAGACTCAAGGCCCCATTTGGACTCTGCTGACTTGTTTGAATTTTCTTCAGCTTTCACCTGAACTTCCATATGAGCAATTGATGGTCTGTTCCACAGTCAGCCCCTAGCATGGTTTTAGCTCCTGATATTGAGCTTCCCCAACACCTCTTCCCACAGTCAACAATGATTTCTGTGTAGTCCATCTGGGGAGTCCATGTGTATAGTCACCTTTTGTGCTGTTGGAAAAAGGCATTTGCTATGAAGAAGTCGTTGGTTGTGCAAAATCCCATCATGCAATCTTCAGCTTTGTTTCTATCATCAAGACCATATTTTCTAACTACCGTTCCTTCCTCTTTGTTTTCCATTCTAGTAGCCAATAATTATTAATTAATTTGAGTGCCCGTCTGATCAATTTCCCACTGAGGTCACTGGTAGAATTTTAAGATTTCTACATCACTAGCTTTTCTGATTGGTGCATAAGTTTGAAGAATAGTTGGATTGATTGGATCTTTCTTGAAGCCGGATAGACATAACCCTATCACAGACAGCATTGTACTTCAAGGTTGCTCTTGACAATGAATGACACAACAGTCCTCTTGGCTGTGTTATTCCTGGCCTAGTAAATCACGTGATTACTGATCCCAAATGGGCAACATCAGCGCATCTTAGTTCAGCAGTGTCTAGGATATCAATCTTTATGCATTCCATTTTATTTTTGACCACTTCCGCTTTTCCTAGTTCATTCTTCACACGTTCCAACTTCAGACCATCAGCAGACTTTTGCAGCGGTCTCTCCTTACCTGAGTCCCACCCCATCAGCACATGAAGACCCGCAGGCTCCACGCCACAGGCTTTGTCCGACTCACACCACCAGGGTGACGCCACGCAGAGAAATCAGCTCCCACTCAGTCCCATCTCGAGGGAGAACAGCAGATAACATTTAAGTTCCTTTTTAAAAAAATTCTTAAAGCTAAATTTAAGCCTTGAAGAAGAGTTATCAGGAATCAAGCATATTTTAAACTATTTTATTATGATGATGATTATTTTTAATTCTGCCTTAATCATGCTGGCCAAAAGAATCAAGAAAGAAACCCTGTTCTTCCTCCCTAGTCATTCATGCCCCAAAAGATTACGGGTGTCTTAAGAAACCAAACCAAACTCCCTGCCCCCACGTAAATTCTGACTCACAGAAACCCTGTAGGGCAGGTTCGAACTGCCCCTGTGGGTTTTTGAGCCTGTGATTCTTTACAGGAGTAGAAAGCCCTGTCCTTCTCCTGACATATGTCATAAGTAGTTAGACTCATCAGAGCCCCTAGCAATCATCACTGAAAGCCACATATGAAGCCTCACAGATGATAGGTGTCACTGGAGAGATCATTTAAACGAAGCCAGAGTTAAGCAGTGTGAAATAAAAATAAGAAGAAGCTTTTGCTGATGCACCGTGTTGGTGTGTTTTCTTCCTAAAACTACAGATTATGTGACTTCTCTGGGGAGACTGGTGGCTTCTCGGTATGCTGATGGCCTGTTCCCACAGTTCTGCAGAGCCGAAGATGGCAGAGTGTACAACGTAAGTCTGCTCGCTGTGCTGTGATGCTGACGCCCGGCGCTGGGCTACGTGGAGTGGCTTGCGCTGCGTAACACGTGCGCTGCGTAACACGTACGCTGCGTAACACGTGCGCTGCGTAACACGTACGCTGCGTAACACGTGATGCGGGGCCAAGCCTCTGCCAGAGCCAGTAGCTTTCCTTTGCTAGCCAGACGCCTTTCCTGTCAGCAGAATCGTGAAAATCAGGACCGAGGGGTCAGAGGTGGGAGCTCTTCGCCTTAGGGATTAGGCAGAAAGCCCTTGACTGGCAAAGTGAATGTGTGCACAGAGGCAGTTTATCTTGCTTTGAAAATAAAGGGCGGCGGGGAGGGGGGCAGAAATGACGGACGTGGGCCGAAAGTTGCTTCGAATGAAGCACAGTGTGTGTGTGTGTGTGTGTGTGTGTGTGAGAGAGAGAGAGAGAGAGAGAGAGAACTGGAGCCTCAGTAGCATTATTTTGACCCACCCTTGTATGTATACCACTATTTCCTAATACGTTTAAAAATGTTATTACTTTTTAAACAACCCAGTCCATGTAAGAACTCTTGAGGTTTGTGTGCTAAATATATGTTGCTTCTGAGCCACATTAGACCGAAGAGAAAGTGGTGAAAAATGGGTTTCTATTTACCATCTGATATCACCCCATACACTACCCACGATGCTGCCCTACACTAGTTTCCGTGTGGTGCAGAGACATGGTGTAAGTGCTCTGGAAGCCAGGGAGGGAATTTGGGATTCTGCCTGAGGATCCACAGAGAGCGTCTGAGAAGTGATGCTGGAGCTTCAGGAATCAGTGTGGGAGACACATGGAAAAGGACAGGAGCTTAAGGCAGAGGGACAGCAGCAGCAAGGTATGCGGATGCAGCATAGATGATATGTGCAAGAAACACATTTTCCTTCACACTTTGGGCACCTAGGTGTTCTGGGGGTTGTCAACGTTTGTTTGTTTGTACCAGATTTCTTTTAAAGTCTCTCTCTCTCTCTCTCTCTCTCTCGTGCTCTCTCTCTTTTCTTCACAGAACAGGGCAATCAGTTTTCTTATCCCTTTCCTATGTTGGTTTTGTTTTAACTTCCCAGCACCCTAAAGACTATTAGAATTTGAAGAATAAAACTGGGCCTTGCATACTTGTGCCTGTCGTAGGTGAGCAGTGGTTTCTCTGTGCATACAAGGAGCTGCGGGCACGCTGCATCTCCTTTCAGGGGCCACCCTGAGCAATCTTGGTGGCAGCCCTGGGCAATGAGGGCGCCCGGGCAGAGGGATCCCGAGAGACAGAGGACACACGGACAAGGCCGGGAGCAGAACGAGTAGCTGGTGTTAGCCTCACTCAGCGGCAGACAGGCAGGCACGTTTAGAAGCATTTTCAGAAATACTCTACTTGAGGAACCTTTTTTGGGGGACTTCACTATTTGTTTTGTTTTTTTCCTTTCCATCTGCCTTCACTCACTTTCTTTTTGTCCCCCCTGTTAATTCGTTAGAGTGCCCCTGAGCATTTTGTGATAGATCCAGTTCGGTTACCATAAAGATGAAACATGATCTGGAAACAGATTTAGAGTAGACCATTTTGAGCAGGTCACACACTCCTCTTTCCGTTGGCTGAGGATTATCCAGGAGGTTTCAGTAGAAAGCTCTTTCCCCAGGATTTGGTGGCAGTTGGAGGACCATTTTCAATATTGTCAGTTACTGGACAGGTCTTGACAGCACAACAAACAAACAAACAACTCACTGCCATCAAGTTGATTCCGACCCTCTAAGACAGGGTAGAACTGTCCTTTGTGAGTTTCCAACTCTTTATGGGCCTACCTAGCATCCTCTCCCGCCTGCAGAGTGACTGGTGGCTTCAGACTGCTGACCTTTCAGAGAACAGCCCAGCCGGTACCCAGTACACCACCAGGGTTCTGGCGGCAGGGACCATGCTACGTGCTTTCTGTTCTTCCTGGCCGCACTGTGTTGCGCAGGTGGCTGATCTGCCTGTTGATTTTGTTTTCTTTTCCCATTTGTATTTCCATGAAGTTGACGGCTAAGTCAGAGCTGATCCATCACTTTGTGGACTGCTTAACCCAAGTGGTGGAGAGCTACAGGCACCGGATGGCCTGGCTCACCAGTGGGAGCCGGCAGGTGTTTGGTGTCATCCTTGAGCAGTGCATCACCATAGTGTTGGATGTTGACGACATGTTGGAGGAGGAGCTTAATCTGTGCCAAGCTGCTCTGGTAATGGTCCTTCAGGAGCAGGTGACGCAAATAAGCAAGTTCAACATGATACGGTGAGTTCCCACCGAGGGATATCGCAATAGACTTTCACAAGCCGCCTGCAGGAAGATAGTTTGAGTTAAATAGCACCAGCTAATATAGTTAGCTCTGTGGTGAGAGAGGAGCTCTGATTTCCTAGGATGCCCATTTTCAGATGGAAAACCACAGTGAATCAATCTTAGAAGACTTTAAAAAAATCTGCGTTGCATTTGGCACCTCAGTTTTGAGAAACATAATTCTCTTCAGTCATAAAAAGGGCCAACTACAAGAACATAAATTATATTGAACATAAAACGGACAGATAAACCACTGAGAAACAGTAATGGGAGTAGCTATACCATGAGGGGAGGGGGAGGAGGAGTGGGGGGAAGGGGAGAAAGGGGGAACCAATAGCAATGATGGATGTATAACAAACAGCTCCCTGCTCCCCTGCCAGGGAGATGGACAACAGAAACGTAGGTGAAGGGATGCAGCGACTGGTGTAAGACATGAAAAAATAATATTAATATGTAATTTATCAAGGGCTTCATGAGGGTGGGAGGGTGGGAAGGGAGGGGAAAAAGGAGCTGATAAGGGCTCAAGTAGAAAGATAATGTCTTGAAAATGACAATGGCAACATATTTATAAGTTTGCTTGATTTAATTGATTGTTATAATATCTATAGGAGCCCCCAATAAAATAATTTAAATTAAAAAAATCTCCACTCATTTTTAGATTTTACCTTGGTATGAATTCAGACTTACCGCAGCTTTCACAGTCTTTCCAGGCTGAATTTGCAGCTCTAGTTGGGACCCCATCCCACCCTCCAGTAAGATGACCTTCTTTCATCAGAACAACAGGTGGCTGGCTTGATAGAATTTCCCCTATTCCCAGTTTTCCAAATCAATTATTTATGGATTCTTGGATCCAAGAATTTAGACTCGAGCCCCCACTTCTCATTTGGAACCATAGCTGCACCTCTCTGATGAGGAACATCTGGATAAGTGGGAGAGCCCTGGGACTGAGCCGTTCTCTCTTTAAATGAAATCTTTTGTATGATGTACATGGGAATCTTTGGGGGGTATTGCCTAATTGTGTTTCATTAGGTGCCTGTTTTGGTCACAGATACAGGATGGAAAGAATTGAATGGTTATATCTGCACTATTTGTTTGGTTTTTTGTACTTGTTTTTAATACAGTAAAATGTATGAAACCCAAAACCTGGATTTAGAGAAAACCTATCAGGAAAGGAAAGGAGCCCTGGTGGCCCAGTGGGTTATGTGCTGGACTGCTAACTTCATGGTCAGCAGTTCAAAACCACCAGGTGCTCTTCAGGATAAAAAAGAGGCTTTCTACTCCTAAAAAGAACTATCGTCTTGGAACCCACGGGGGCAGTTCTACCCTGTTATATAGAGTCACTGAGAGTCAGCATTGACGCCATGGCAGTGGGTTTGGGTTTGGAAGGAAAACAGAAATACTTTCCACTGAGAGAGAGAGCTGGAAAGTGCTCAGGCTGCACCCTGTCAAAAGTAGAATAGTTGGGAGACCGAGAAAAGAAAATGGGCCAGTCTGATTCTCTACTCAGAAAAGCCACTCAAAGTTATGGTTGCCACAGGTGTGAGGCAGCCTCTACTTCTCCTGGTGGGCTCTGAGGGACAAACCCGGTTCCTTGTATTTACAATTCTGAACAAAGAGATAAATAGTGGCCATGGTTTAGAGGAAGTGGGGGTGGGGTGAGGAAGCCATCAGTCATTGCTACGCTTGATCTTAGCCAAAAGGCTGAGAAGCAATCATCAGTCATTTCTAAGCGTAAACGAAATGATTTTAAACATATTGTCTCAGGATTAAAAAGTAATGCTTGATTGAACTCAAGATCATACTACTTAAAAGAATGTTTTTACTGACCCATAATTCACTTATCAGACAGTTCAACCGCTTAATCATATTAAAAAGAGTTGTGCAATGGTCAGCACAATACATTTTAGAACATTTTCTTCTTTCTTGGACTCATTATTATTAGCTCCCCCTCCAACCTTCCATAGCCCATGAAATTATTAATCCAGTTGCTATCTCTATAGATGAACTGATCCTGGTTTCTGTACCAAAAAACATACAGAAAACAAAAACAAAGGCAAAAACTGCCTCTCAAACTCCCAAATAATAACAAAATAAAACAAATACCTCAATAGAAAAGAAAGCAGAAAATAGTAAAAACTAGAACAAATTAAAACCAGTCAAAGGGAGAACAAATGATAGAGTGTTAATTTTACCCTAATTACATCTGCATTAATCCACTTTCCAGTGCACTCTGTCTAGCAAGGCTATTCCCATCCCTGGTCAGTGAGTGGTCAGCGGGGATTCACCGGAGGCTTACTCCATGTGGGGACCTTGCAAATGGATTTTGGGCTTTCGCTGTCACCCATAGCCTTCTGCAAACTGGGTGTGCCAGAATCTAAGCTCTAGTGCCTTTTCCTGCTCTGGTCTCGGACTTTATTATTTACACTCCTCAGATTGATCACACAGGCTGGTGTGCTGCTTCTGTGTGGATTTCGCTAGCACTTCACTTAGATAGCTGTTTGCTTTTTAAAACAGTTTTATTCTCACTTCATCCACATGTCATGCAATTCAATATTTCAGTTATATCAAGAAGAGTTGTGCAGTTATCACCACATTCAATTCTAGAACATTTTCTTCTTCCTTGTACTCATTGTTATTCATATGATTATTATTTTTTCTAATTGTATCCAAAATATACACAATAGAACAGTCTGGCTGCTTGTTTTAAGACAAGCCTTTAAGACCTCGGATGCTATTCTTTCTGATCGCTGGGCCCATCTGATTTCTTCACCACACTTTGCTGTAGCATCCATATCTTCAATAGTTTATTCATAAAGGCAAGTATCAAACAGGGGTGTGTCATAAGAATTCATTGTTCTCAGATGAGGGCTATGACTAAGTGCGAGCTCAAAATCCAATGATAGTATCTGTGAGGATGTGTTAGTCTGGGTAGACTAGAGAAACAAACCCGACACTCATATTTATATAAGAGAGCTTTATATAAAAGAGTAATTGTACATTAAGAAAATATCCTAGCCCAGACAAGATCAAACCACAAGTACAATATTAGCACATAGGTCCAATACTAGTCCATAAAATCCTCTTTAGACTCACACAGCCCTGAAATAATGCTAAATGTAGGAAGAGCACAGGCCAGTGGGTGGAAGTCTTATGGATCCAGTGGCGGTGGAAGCACCCCAGTGCTGGCAGGGGTGTCCA